CAAATTTCCTTGAAATATCAAGATATAGTTTCAAGGCTGTATCACCCACCCTTAGCTGCCAATTTGCTGCAACAATAGCAACCTGGCACCTGCGCATTTTCATTAGCATACATATATTCACACCTAGAGCACACCTGCAGACCTTTTCAACATCAAAGTAACTCAGAGAGTATAAAAGTGCACTGTGTCAGATTTGCTAGTTTTAAGTATCAGGGCTCGCAAAATTGCCAGCCCGACGTCCCGGAGCTAGCGATATCTCCGGTCGGGCAACCAAAATCTATCTCAGCCCCGCCCGTCGGGTTATCATATAGCCTCACATCTAGATCATCATAAAAGCTGGTTACTGGATGATTTCTATCCTGTAGCAGGGTCTCAAAAGGCCATGCAAGAACAGCAGTTTTTGTAAAAACATGTAAAAATATAAACTTTATATGATAAAAAAACCCTTTTTAGATATTGCATCTTTTATCTCTACTTTCTCTGGATACAAGCATGCAGAGAGGATTATAAGTGCTTTACTTTATAGAACCCCTCTCATCTACGTCTGCTGGCTTCAGGATTTAAAGTCCTAATTTTAGATTATTCATTTCATGGCTAATGCACTTCTTATTAACCTATCATTAGCCTGCACACACTGTATCAAGCTGTAGTCTGCAACTGTCTGCTAGGCCTCTAATTCAATTCACTGAACTGGACCTCGAACCTGTGCTTGTCAGTTTAGTTTTGTTAGGTTGTGAGTTAATTAGTATATATGTGCATGTGTGTTTATGAATTTAGCTAGCTAACCAAGCTTGCTAACCTTTGCTGATATTCTAGCACCAACCATATGGCAAAAATGTGGCCACTTCTAGATCCAAAAAAGCAACATGGCAAAGACCAAAGTACTAACATGAAGGCTTCAGAACAACCTGATTCAAAACCAATGTGTAGATCCACAGTGCCAACATCCATCTTTTATTTACAGTCTATGACCAAGCCTGGAATATAAGCTAAAGACAGCAGCTAAACAATCGGTGGAGCTAACGCTGAATGATTTTTTTTTCTGTTTTGAATGAAGGTTTAAACTCTTTACCCTCTTTTAAGGTTGACATCTGACGACCTGCCCTGTACCTTTAATGATGAGTCTTAACAACCATTAGAGAAGTTTCTAGGTTTTTCCAAGGTAGCTATGACAGAAACCGCTCAGAAAACAGCTTTAAAAGTTACACCTAGTAGACTTTAAAGAGATAAAGAGTCAAGAGTGAATGCGTATACACCGATGGACTATAATCCACTAAAATCTCAAAACCATAGTAATAAGAAGCCATATACGCCCAGTAACTCATACCATAGTGGTTTTGCGATTGTGCAACAGGAAGAAGTTCAGTGACTAGCATGCCTTTGAGTGGCTTTGGAGTTATTCAAATAAACAGCAGCCACATCACATGCAGTTCCACTGGAAGAAAAGGCTCATTTAACTTCTGCTGATCTCTCCAGTAGCAGAGATGGCCTCTGGGGACAGCCTCTGGTTGAATACTAAAGCTAACAAAGGAGAGGCAGTTCTGAACTTCCCATGGGTGCTCGGATTTCGAAGGTGCCAAGGGTCTGAGGCTGTCCCCTCTTTTGGGAAACACTTCTTTAATTCATCTTTTTATATATATATAAAAAAATCTGTGTGACATTCTCTTGAGGCAAACTTTCAAACACACATCAGCAAAGTCTGCCTTTAGTTCAGTGTTACTCTAGCGTTCTGTCAGGGCCTCGCCCTGCTCTCTGGCAAAGTGTCGACTGCTACTATCACATAACTCAATACCTAATGGAGAAAATAGACTTTTTGTCCACAGTGTGTAATCTGAGTTTCATAGTTTTTCCTCATTTTACAAAATTTTGGAGGCGGTGTTGTACTTCCAAATGTGACACAACTGCATGGCAGCACATCCGAGCCGCCGCAGTGAGATGGATTACACAGGAGAGGCTTAGGAAAATGATGGATTCACAGATCAATGTGTCAGCAGTGGTATCTCCTCTCTTAAGTGCTGAAAGTAATCTGGAGTGATTTACAATATTGACCAGGAGGAAGGCTTTCGGGCTCCCCGTTTCTGACGGCGCAGGATCTGATGTAGCTATCCCCTGTGTCCATCACTTAATGGAAATCCACATGACCCGATAATCCCATACAGTAGCTGGTGTATAGACTAACAGGAGCCAGTGGGAAGAAAATGCAAGAAGCAGATAAACATATTCTTCCTGTTGTGATTTAGTGACATTCTCACCAGCTTCGGTGCTGATGAGAATGGAAAAGGATGATGGAAAAGGAAAAAGATGCAAGAGAGGTTGGGTGAAGGTTAAATCCTCGCACTAAGACCAAATAAGGAAAAACTGAACTTCCCCAGAGAATCAGTCAATGTCTCACATTACACTGCATCAATCCAGTTTTACTGAGGCCTGCATGAAATACTAATTAGGAAGTCACTGCTCAGTTACTACTGAGAATTGTGTTAATTTCAAATGTTTACAGATAATCAAGTTAAAACCGTCCATATTTAAAAGAGCCGGGAAATTATTTATCTTCGCATTTGTTAAAGACACGGCAAATGGGAACATGGTTACACGGGAAGGTCAACACAGTTCTGCCTGTGGCTTGTAAAGCACCCGACATGTTTGTGCAATGGTGGCGCCAACAGAGCTTTGCAAACCATCATGTACATCAGGGATCTTAAACTCATTTTACACTGTGGGCCAGACCAGTGACGCTCGCCTTTCTGTGGGTCTAAAGAAGTTTGATTACACACTGAGCACCTTAATAAAAGAATAAGTGCAAATTCAACTACACATTTCATTTTCTACCTGATAATGAAATGCTTCTACAGCAAATGAAAGAAATTGCATGTCTCTTTGGCTTTAATTGGAAGAATTTAAATGTAAAATTACCGAATAAAGATTAAAATAAAGCTTTAAAACTTGTTAAAATAGTTAAAAGTCTGAAATTTATACCTTCTTTTGTGTTTTCCAGTTTTCTGGTAGCCTCGGACTAGTCTTTATTGGGCCTATTCTGGGCCCTGGGTCTTATGTTTGACCCCCATGATCTGCATGCTATAATGGTTGTGTTACATGTGGTCTACTCACCAAAACTCGATCTCCAACTCGAAGATCCTTATCTCCTGCTTTTTTAACCGAACCACTGTCAGACATGTTGGACCCAGACTCATTTCCCGTTTTCACGGCGCTGTTGAGCAGGCCCTCTCTGAGCGGTACCACCACCCGCTGGCCGGCGGGGGCGCCGCCGCCCTGCTGAGTCTGATTCTGGGTTGAGTCAGTGGAGTGGCTGTCGCTCCCCTCTCCGACTGGCTGTCGGGTGAGCTTTGAGGGTCGCGTAAAGATTCCCTGGAGGGGCTGGCACTCAAAGTAGCGCACGCCACCCACTGAACCATCGTTTTTGCCAACTAGGTCATTCAGTATGACGCCTGCCCACTGTCCTGGAGCAAACTGGGTCTCCCCTAGGTAGGCGATAACTCCTGGTTTCACACCGTTGACCCAAACCTGTTCGCCAACGGTGTAATCCCCCAAAACATCGTCGCCCTCTTCCGAGATTTTAGTTGGAGTGGTGGGCTTCAGCGCAGCACCTGGAACAAACACAGAGACACAGTCATCTGCCATGTTGCAGAGCAGCACAAGGATTCATATAACAAAAGCAGAATGTGCTTAAAGGCATTAAAACTCAAAGGTGCATGGAAACTGTGTCATTTCTTCTTACAGTCATTACACTCCTCTCTGATTTAAGTTGCGAACACTGTGTACATTGTGAGGCCATCCTCATTCACAGTCCAGCAGAATCGCCTTCACACTATTCATCCTGTTTGACCGTGCCATGCCAGCAGAAAAAAAAAGCTTGTGTGGCAGCATCTAGCACAACAGAGCAGTTTGTGCAAGATTAGGCGATAGTCTAATTCCTTCTGAAAAGTGGGTCAGAGAGACGGTATCTGTGATGTGCCGGTGATTAACCTTGCCATCAGCCCTGTGATATCGCCTATTTGACACATAGAAAAGCTGGATGTCTGTTCTCATCCGCACAGCCTGTAAACTGGGAGGAGCACGCGGTCTGGTGCACCGCGCTGCCGGTAAAAGCGTGTTTATCTATGTCTGTGTGCAGGAGTGGTTGGTGCCAGGGCGGTCTCCCCGACACCCTGAGAGCGGGCCCGGGGCTTTGTGGGCTCCAGTGGCTGTGCTCTATGCGTGTTATGCCCCAATTGCTTCCATATGCTGCTATGTGAGCCGCAAATGAAAATGGGTACGACTTCAAAGGGGATTTAACTTGATTATAGAGTTTAGAAGCTTTTAGGAATGTGCTGCTTCTGGTAAATCGCTGTTCTGGGGAAAACTGATGACTGACTGATAATTTTGTTCAGTGTCAAGAAGTGGTCATCTTGAAGATGGATGCCTTTCAAAAAGTTACTTTTTTCTCTGACCGTGGACAAAGTTTAGGCTTCGAGGCAT